ATTTGAATCGAAACGCCACAGATGTTATGCGGTGAGATATAGCTGGCGTTTCGGTTGGAGCTGCTAGTTGAGAAGTGGCGGATAGAGTTCGCCACAAAAGCAAACGTCTGTCAGCAGATATTTTTTTCTTAACCGGCCGCACCAGTCCTGGCTAATTGCGCTTGCATCTCGCTGCTATGTTGCCGCTATGCACATATTTGGTTTTTAACCGCCTGGCATTGCTCGAATAGCAGATATTTTTTTGTTAACCGTCCGCACCAGTCCTGGCTGATTGCGCTTGTGCGTATCACTGCCGCGTTGCCGGTTTGATACTTCCATCCAAGTTATAACCACATAAAAACACGGCTACTTGTGGATTCTAGCACCTTTTTAGTTCAGTGACTGTTGCTCAAAATCATGCTTATTTCATCGTAGTAAAGATTTGGATTCTTGGTAAACAAACATTAACCAAAAACAATTAACTAAAAAAAAGTAAACGACTGTCATGACAGCACCATGCGTTTTGTCCCGGGCATACCCATTGGACTCGTCGGTAAAGCTTAGGTAGCCTCCCCCCCTTTTTTTTTGACCAGTCACGACTCCCATATACTATGAATAATGGGCGCAAAGGAAAATCATTCAGTCGTTTTAATTAGAGTAAAAGTGATTCTTTCGCTATCGAAAACAGTGGCGAAACTATGTACTTTCGACCAGAATAAAAAAATCATGGAAACAAAAACATTTTTTTTTCACTTTTAAGATTTCATCTAAACAGCAATTATTTAAACAATTTTCACTAGCATAGTGAATTATAACATCAATGTTATATGCACCTGTACTATAATTAATACTGAGTCAGAGGTGAATTCACTATGAAGCTCCATGATCCGCGTGTTTCAAGGTGAAGAGACCCCCAACGTTAAAATTATGCATTAATTATTAATTAAATTTGAGATACAAGTCAATCTGAAAATTTACAGTATATATTGAGGCTTTTGCAATTTACATTAGTTGCCAATTACCTTACAATCGATTTCTGAAGGTACACTCCCGGCTCTTTTTTGTTGCTATTTATGTATGCTATACCTACATATGTCAGATGCTTTGACACTAATTCTAATGTTGGTAATGCTTTACGATGCGATCTGGTATTAGGATTGCCGCTTTGCCGATTAAGACTATGCTCATCTTAGCATCTTATCATATCTATTATCTATCTATCTATCTTAGGTCGCCATGATAGTTCAGCCCTTTGCGCCGGCGTGCCAGTCAACATTTTTCGCGTAGTTGCCAGTACTATCATTACCACTTCCTTAACCACCTATGCGATCAGTTTCGCTGAAACATTCAAACAGAATCAATTTGAAGATTGAAGAATTTGAGAATTTCAAAGTTTTTTTTAATATAAAATAAATAGTAATTAGTAATACCCAGAAATTTCACTACTTTTCCGATTCTCATGCTAATTCCAATTAGCTGAATAAGAACTCACACGCGTTTATAGAAATCCATAGAGAAACCAAAGCTGAAAATACTTTATTTTATTTTCTTTGCATGCATACACAATTAATTTGATATTTCAAACGGCTGGCTGCAATCAGCTGGGTCCCGGCTAAATTACGCGCACAATCATATGTATGAACTTATCAGTTTCGTTTACTATTTCCTGTATGGACGCAATTCTGCTAAGTTGAATAACTAACTAACCTTGAATAAATTACTTTTTTGTTTTCATTGAAATTTTCTACTTTGGTGGCAGTTCGGCAACATGGCTGACCAGTATGCAATGTTTGGCTGCGCGTACCCTGCGTGCAGGCATGTGCGCGGGCCACAGCAGATCGTACCGTAAAGCATTACCCTAATGTTTTTCAGGCACCCAAGCAGATTTCTGTGTTTGAAAAGTTTAACCTAAAGCATTAAACATTCATCACAAATGATGTTTAATGACTTTTTAAACAAGAAGGTAGTGAACAAGAAGATAAGCCTTGTTCTATGGTTAAAACGGCTTAGGACTTCAGTCCCGCAAAGGTCTCAATTATTTTCTGTAGCGAGTCTAATTTCTAGACATTATTATGTTAATTTTAATTTTTCTGAAAATAAGTATCAATCTATGAACGATGCAATTCAATACAAAGAACTTAACTTTTCTGAATAACCATATGAAATATGTAAATGATTGTATTACAAATTAGGTTAGTACACTATTCAAACAATATAATACAACATGCAAATGCATTACGCCATACTGGCTGGAGGGTGTGCAGCAAGTGCAGGATTATTTGGAAAGTTATCCGGATTAGAAATATTTGAGGTAGGCGACATTTCTAATGGGTACATTCAAGTTTTCCAGGAAAAAAACGGAACACGTTTTGCCTAAAAACAATAAATTAGATAGAGATTAGAGAAAAAAGATAGAGCCTATATGTGACAGATTATACACTATGACCTACTGTTTTTGACGTTTTTTTACCACTTACACATTCACTTTAAATTTGTTAGTTCGGAAACCTAACCCTATTACCTTGAATTGCCTGTGACTGAATACAAAACATGTTTTATATTTAAATCAGTTTGACCTACTCAGCACTCTCCCACATACCTACATTAATATACTTATATACTCATTGACAAAACTATCATCACTATCATATCATACTTGCATACATTATACAGGGTGTCCCCCGGGAACCGCCGCGATCGATATATGGCAAACTATAGTTAGGAGATATTTGAAAAAATTGGACCGTGTAAGATTTTAAAATAAATTCTCCATAAATAATAAATAGATTTAAATAATCTTCTTTTCTATAATGTAAGCGTCCGGGCATAATTAATAATTATTTGCAAAAGTTAACTGACAGCTGTAAGCATTCTTTTGGCATTTGATTGCATTAAAAATGGCCGCTTTCGTCATGGCAACCAAGAGTGACAGGATTTAAAATGACTTTGGCACACTGTCCAATGTCTCCTAATTACAGTTTGCCAGATATCGATTGCAGCGGTTCCCGGTGGGACACCCTGTATAGGTGATTATATTAATGTATTTTTAGGGATTACTTGCCGTAAGAGTACTTTTTTTCGGAGCTATGCTACTATGTAATCTTGCAGTCTGGACTCTGTTTGTTAGAGCCCTACATCAGTCTCATTCTTCTTTAACAGCTACAATGGTCAGCTCAACATCGAATTATTTAATTACAGTAAGTAATTAACTCATTATATTTGAAATAAAAATTGTAATTATTCAATTTCTGAAATATTTTAAATTATTTAGGCACTTCTTGGCACTTTCGTGCTCGGAGAAATAACTTCAACATATTGGTGGATTGGAATGGGATGTATCCTAATCGGTTTAAGTCTGATTGTTTCTGAGGAAAACGGTCAAAAAGAAGTACCAAACTTGTGGACAAGACGGAGTGGAAGTCCGAGAATAATTTCTTTACCGCACAGTTAGTATAAAATTAAAAGTATTAAATAATAAATATATTTAACAAAAAAGTGTCGAAAAGCATCCATTTATTACCTGTTATTTATGTTCAGTTAGTGACCTCATTGATTGCTTTGTTTTCATTTTTTTAAATGTGAATTAATGTTATTTCAAATGCGTATGTAAATTTTTTCTCGTTTTTGAAACACTTAACGATCCAACTCATGTAACTTCAATACTATGAATACTACTACTACTAACTGAAACTCTAAGTTTTTTAGTTTAATAAATGCCTATTGTAAAGAGAAATTAATGTGCTTTATTTTCCCAATTAATGCTAGTTTTTACACGAACAAAACTTTAGCAGGCAGTTTGAATTCAGTTTATAATCGCTGCGATTTTGACTAATATAACAACACAATTAAAGGGCATTATCAGATGCTTAAAATATTATTAAAACTTAAGCCAAAATCGCTGAGGTGATAAACTGATTTTAAATATCCCGCTAAATTTTGATGTGAACCCAATCGGTAAAGAAGTTTTTTTTCCGAAAGCAGTGGAAATTTCAGTCTAGTTATCTACCGTTAAAACGTTATGTTAAATACTTTCAATACAATGTATGAGCTTTTTTGGGAGTTTCTGTAAGACGCAAGTAAATAGAGCTCCAATAAACTCTAAAAGATCACCCAAGAGGCGAAGTCACATTTCAACAGTTTCGGTCTATTCTCTAGTAACATGTGTTACATACCTGTGTTACACAAAGTGAAATTATGCAATCCGTCTAAGGATCCCAACTCCTTTCGACCGAAACTCCTCCCAATGCTAAAATTTGAGGGTGGGAATATTTGAATAAATTAAGGGCAAATTATTTGAAGTGGCTATTATTGGTGAATAAATAGAAAAAATAAAGCATATGTTTTATCAAATTATGATATATTTTTTTAAATATTTTTGTCATAATTTGTTTTTTAGATAGGTAAAACTTATGTACAAAGGAATTATAATTTCCCATTTTATAATATCGCAATTCTTTAAGGTTGGAACTCAAGGCAAAAACTCAAGACATAAGATAATCAAGTTTTACTACTTTGAAGAAACTTTTCAAAAATATTTTTTACCTGATGTCCGTTTTGATAGCTATGCTGCCATCTATCTTCTCATTTAACAAGTTTCTTTCATATATCTCTCATTTAACAATATTTTGTTCAAAAGGCAATTTTTTTTTCTAGGTACCTTTGAAAATTAAAAAATCTGAAAAACAGAAATTTAGAGATATTTATTTGGTGACAACCGTAGACGACGAAATTTATTTACCGTTTTATTTTTAAATCTACCGTTTTTTCTTATCCATTCTACCGCTTTCGAAGTTCTTGGTCTGGCAACGTTGCTTTGCTCTGTGATCTGTGATGGTAACAGTCAGAGGATAACCTGTAAAATATAGGGTTAAGTTTGAGAATAAATAAAAGAAAATAACGAGATAAAATTGAACTTGTTTTTAAATTCAGTTTTTGTGGAGTAGCAAACGAATTATGGATTCTACAGGGCCGTCGGGACGGCAGGTGTCTTTGCCGTCAGCAATAAATCTGTCAACGTTTACGGCCGCTCGGATGAAGGAAATTAAAGCAATGAGAAAAGCGCTAAGTGAAAATGCTGGGACAAAAATGGCTTTTCAGAAACTACCGAAACATATGAGGCGTAGGGCTATGTCTCATGTTGTGAAACGACTGCCCAGAAGATTGCGGGAAATACATTTTAACCAGATGAAAAAGTCTGGGCTGCCTCCTAAAACCAGTAAGCTCTCTAGGAAACATAGAAGGTCAGTTATCAATGTCTTTGTGATTTCGTTAATTCGGTAGATGGGTTGCCCACCGTTAACAGCTTTTAGTTGTTAAAGCATAAGGTAATTTATTAAGTGCACATGCTAAATACTAATTCGTTCTTTGCGTTTAAGAACGGATTGCTTTTGTTTAATCGCACTTATCGGTCCAGCTTGAAATACACTGATGGACAAAATTGACGAACCATCTATAAATTTCAAAGAAAAAAGATTATGAACCCTACATACTTTTATCAAAATTCAAATAATTGTTTTTTAAATTAATATGAGAATATTTTCGAAAGACAATTTAAAACAAAACATGAGTCACTAGTTTATCAGATTTTTGGTAAAAATGTATGAAAAAGACATTTCAGGTAGTTCCCGTTTTTAACCAATTCAATAGCGTGTATTGCCTCTTCTACCTCGAATAACCCTCTTCAAACGTCTTGGAATTCCATAAAAAAGGTTTGTAGTAAATTCTTGGGTTATGTTGTGCCATTCGTTAGGTGTGGTCTGGCATTACCATCCATAAGCCAAAAATTTTCGCCTATGTGAGGCGCAAAAGGTCCGACATCGTTTTCTAAAACCTCTTGAATGTACTTCTGAGTAGTTAATGATCTTCCCCGATCTCCCCCAACAAGTATTGGGCAAAATCGAATCAGGCCCTTCCAGGGGCACTCAGAGCACAATAACTGACACTTTCCCAATCACCAAATAAATACAGAGGAAGGGCTACATTCCTACCACGATTGTACGATACACACAGCACAAGGAGATACAAATGGAGCACGAGTTATTTAACTGAATACGAGAAGCTGCTTGACAAGAGTGGATAATAAGGAGATTACACAGGCACTAGCTTGTTTGGAGTTAACCATTCAAATGTTTGGTGTTGTCTGGTTTATTTTTAAACACCAATATTCGAGGGTATGAGAACAGGTTGACATTTCGTCTTCGACATTCAACAAATCTTGTTGAATTTACCGTTTATCCTTGTCTATCTTATTGTCAGTCTGTATAATTCCATGGTTACCGGAGTTTTAAATAATTACGAAGCCACAGGTATTTGCGCAATGTTAATTAGGCAGATTACCTTGAAAAACATTGCTGCCGTATTTCTGATAGAGTTTTTTGCAAATTTCTCAGTTTTTAATAACAATTAATTTTATTTACTATTTTTTCGGTACTCCTATAACAGCGCCAGACAACACTTCCAGAGGAATGACGCCAATTTTGAATCACCCTGTATATTTAATTATACAAATATAATTTATCTATTGGTTAATTATATGTAATAACGAAACCGTTCAATTTTAACTTATTTTAACTATGAAATCGTAGATATAACTTATGTATAAGCTCAACATGTCTCGACTTTTTATGATTTTTGGTGGAATTTAAGGGCGTTTTGAATATTGTTATGAATGTTATTATGAATATTGTTATGTTCAAAAATTTAATTCTACTTTGTTTGTTTTCGTCAAAGTTCCGGCGTTTATTTCTCGATAAGGTTTTGGGAAAAAGTTGATTCAATTCAATATTCATTTATTAAAATTGAAAAAATAGTATTAGTACAAAATTATTGAAAAAGTACTATTAGCAACAGTATGTCTGTATGTATACGACTCATTTGTAGAGTTTTTACTATATTATTTCAAGAAAAGTAGTAAATACAAACATTACGGTAAAATAAATATGAATAGTTAACAACAGAATAGAAAAGTAAGCACATCCATAAAACAAAAATTAAATTAATTTTTAATTTAGGTAAAATGGAATTGTCTATATTTAAAAATCAAACTGCAATATTATTAGTAAAAATACGGTTATATCTAATTGTTTTGAAGACTATAAGTTTGTAGTTGCCAACTTTTTTACACTGCACCCGATGGCGCCCTCTATTCAATGAATGAATTCATTCGAATGATTTTATTCGATAGTTGCAATCATTCATTAAAAGCTGATATGGATATGAAGAGCTCCATTAAAAAAAATTGCTTCCAATACTATTATGGCGCACCTCATATATTGCAAATTGCAATATTGTACATGCTCCCTAAACACCAAAAACGTTGAACAATTCTGTATATCATCACTGTGTTAGATTGTAAATTTACTTCCGAATTGCTACATACATTCGAACTATGCCTGGGAGCATAGGTGTCACTACCCAACTCTAATCATTAGTAAATTGGATGATTATTGTGGTTTTCTGGTGGATTGAATGCATATCCAATAGTTTAGGCAATGAGAATGTGGTTTCACTACTGAGTTTTGTTAGCGATTCTCTAGATAAAAACCTGCACAACCCGGACAATATTAATAGGTTATTGATGTCACTGTTATTTTAGGCGACCACTAAATCTTAAGTGTGAGTACAGTAGAAGGCAGAGGAGGGTTAAATGGTTGGATACCCACATTTGGCATGCAAAGCGGTACGTATATAGTATAGATGGTGATTCGTTCTTAAAGATAAATTTATTTATTTTTTGTGATCAATACTTTTGCCAAAACAGTATGCAAATTACTGCTTCTAAATTCTATTAATTTTACATGAAACCATGATTTATAGATTTCATATGGTTGAAAAGTGGGGATTTAAGCTTCCCAAACAGCCATGCGACAAATCGTTTCGAGCTTGTTATAGAGCAACTACTCAACACTGTCTAGTTCAGGATTTATCCTACATCAGATGCATTGAAATCGCTGGTGCATATCCGAGCATTATTTCTAAGCTAGCCAAAGTAACAGATTCTAAAATTGGATTAACATTTTCAGCAACATGCTTTTGTGAAGGTATAGAATTAATTCATGGAAAAGAACACATTCAAGGATAAATTATATTGTCTTAATGCATTCACGTGTTTTAGGTAAAAAATTTGGCACCCTTACTATTTTTGACCCAGATTGCACGAATTCTATGAGAAAAGCCATAGGAGAAGTTGACTTTTTTTGGGATCAACCAAAAAGTGAAAAAAGAACGCTATGGGTGTTTGTACATCCTGCATATTATGCGAGGATCTTAGAACTATTTGTTGGTCTGTTTGAGATTGATTTGTCTCTTGAAGAAAATGTGAATAAATCCGGTGGAGTTATAGTGAAAGAACTGCAGTACGATTTGGGAAAATTTAGACTAACTGGTCCGTTGTCAACTGCAATATTGAAACATGCACTCAGGTTAGAACCCTTAATTTTCGCTTTAGTGCTACAAAATGTTTTGTCATAATCGACTTTGTGCCGTTTATTTGCCACGTCGGGATTTTACGTCCGTTTGGGAACACTACAGCTAGAGGTCAATTGACTGAAGAACATTTATTGACAAATGAATCCATCAATTTTTTTATCGCAGCTATTAACGGCATAATAATATCCTACATTGAATCCCAGCTACCGCAAGACCCTGTAATTTTCAAAATTTCTTTAGGTAAATGTAATTTATACTTTTTAACAATCAACCAGTTTAGCCGCAATCTTCAATCTTTTAGCGGGAATAACCACTAGATAATTTCAAGTTTTGATCTGTCTTAGGAAATTGATCAGAATTGTCGTCGTTTGATATCGTCGCATCTAAAAAATTAGGCGCACATGCTGAAAACACTATTCTTCACTGATAAATGTGTGCCCTTTTAACTCAATTCAAATTTTCTAACTAACAAAATCGACTAATTAAAACCATTTGATGTAGGACACCCATCCTGAATGAAAACTGTAAAAATTTGCCGCCTTGGATCAATAGTGAAAGCATGGATATTTTTAACGAACAAAATCAAGCATTTGCTGACTTAACGAATGTTAATTGCCTTCCTCCCAATATGGTGCTTGCGGTCGTTGTTCAAGATCCAAGAATGGTCTGGCCCCAGAAACGAACTAAAGCAACACTAGACGATATACAGACTCTTGAGGATATAGATATCGAAACGTTTCAGAAGAATCTTTCTTTCAGCCCATTACTTGTAGACTCATTCCGAAACTTTGTGCAGTATTTTAAGGTAAGTATTCGTTAAATTAATTTTTTGATGGTAGTAATCTCGATATGTCCACTTCAATCCACAACTATACCGTGGCTCATTTAAAGGACCTAGTCAAATATCGCGTAAATTATCGCAAATACAAGAAAATGTGTTTCATCAATGCTGTGTAATTGCTAGGGCGAAACCGACGGTGCTAACAAATATTTGATAGATGGCGCATCTAAGGTTAGATGGGGACATCTATACAGGGTGTCCAAGATAAGGATGCATTGCATACGAAGTCGGTGAAATTAGAAAAAAGTTGCGATATCAGGAGGTCACATACATAACATTTTTGAAGTAATTTCAAATCATACCAAAAAACAAAAAATACTTTTCATGGCACCTTTTCGAGCTCTCCAAGATGGTGTGCATGAAAAAAATTACAATGTTTCGTTTTTTTGAAACCATCATCAACTTTTCTTTTTCATATAGACCGAAAAAAGTAGATGACGTATTAGGTAGCTAGCTCTTGTAATAGCGAATTCAACGATATAAACACGGTATTATTTGTTCCCGTTCTTACGTTAAAAAACCAAGTTTTTTGTAAATTATTTTCTTTATTCATGGCTTTACTCCTCTGGGTGAGTCTTAGCCTCATCCACAATTGGATCAGGCTGAAATCCTCATCTCCTACGATCTTGTACTTCCACTTGCTACCGCTGGACTCTCATCCTAGATAGATCTGCAGCGACAGCAATCTTCCATCTTTGTTTCGGTCTACCTATTGATCTGCTGTTATCTGGTCTCTCCAGGAATACTATTTTTTATCAACATGTTATTTTCTGATGTTACTACGTGACCTGCCCATCTTACTCGGTTAGCCGAATGTGAGTTATGTGCCTGACAATATTTTCATTGCCATACATTGTAGAGGTGTGCTAAACGGTTATTTTTACAACAGGAACAGATTCCAACGTTGCAGTTTCACTTTGGTATTAGGTTCTATAAGTATAATGTTTTTAAATTTTTCAATGAAAATTCGCAATGATGATGATGGTAGAAATAGTGATGATAAATAATGATTTAGTTTATTAAAAAAAGATTATTCTTAGTTATAGGTAAACTAAAAATAATATATTCCGAAAACAAAAACAAAACACGGGTCATAAGTAACTACTGAAGGAAAAAAACTGATAATAAAAATAGAACGGTTTAAATTATTAAAAATAAAATATACCTACGCTTTGCATGCGAAAATGTTTAAAAAGCTAATTTTCATTTTAAAATTAATTAATATTTAAGAATAATTTTTTGCGTATGCTTTTTACTAATTTTATTTCTTCGCTCGTTTATGATCGCAACAGCTTCGGAAAATAATCTCTCGCATGGAACAAAAGTACTCATATACTTGTGTTTTTTTTGTTATGAAACAAGTTTGTGAAAATCTTAAAAAATGTAATAATCTTGTCTTAATAATATTTTAAGTGGACTTCCCCTGATTGGTGGGGCACCAAAGTTTTTGTAATAGCATTTGAATTATTTACGCGTGTTATAAAGTCAACAATAACATTACTAACTAAAAATGTTGAATTCTATCATCACCGAAACTAAACAATATTTTGCTAATCTGACCGATTATGGTTCCTGGAGAACTGAACAGTAGTTCTCATAGACGAAAGGTAATAAACACAATCAGCAACGCAACGCGGTAACTCAACATATTTTCCGTTGACAAATGGTTACTAAAACTGCTGCAACTGAATAGCTGGAAGGCTGCGCTTACCGATTTCATGTCTGGAACACTGTTATTTTAGCGGTTCTTCTTCTTCTTCTAGCCGTTCTTCGTCCAGAATTGGACATAGGCCTCCCTTAGTTCTTTTCATTTTGTTCTATTCTGGCAATTCTCATCCATGGAAGTCCTGCCACCTTTTTTATGTCGTCGTATCAACGTGTGATAGGTCTTCCTCTCGCTCTTCTGCCGGTCCATGGCCTCCATCGCAACACTTTTCCATTCCACCTGTCATCCTTTATTCGGGCGATGTCCCGCGTAGTCCCATTTCAGTTGTGGTGCCCGGTCTATTATATCTGTTATTTTAGATTTGCTTCTAATGAACTCGTTTCGTTTTTTGTCACGCAGGGAAACGCCTAATATTCGTCTTTCCGTCTTTCTTCGGGATGATTGTTTCTTCTGCCTCCTTGGTCATTTCTATTAATATGCCGTCGCATCCAGAGGTCCTGCTATATTTTGATGTTTTAAGAGCATGTTGTATTTCCTCCACTGTTATTTCGGGGATGTCGTCCGACCCCACATTTCTCACTTTCTTAAATGTAATTGTTTCTAGTTTCTTTAGTTGTGAGGTGTATAAGTCTTGGTAAAATTTCTTGGTGATCTTTAGTACTTCTTTCTTATTGCTGGTTTCCCGGTGCATGGACTCTTTTAGGGCTATTAACACTTTCCTGCCGTTGTTCCTCCGGAGGCATCTCATGTTTTTATTATTTTCGATTGCATTTTCTACTTCTGTTATGTAGTTTCCTTCCAAATCCTTGCGTATCATTTTTCTTGCTTCTCTTCTGATTTCGCGGTATTCTTCTGTGTTTTGTTTGCCTTCGCCGTACAAGGTTCTTTTTTTTCTATCAGCGTTTCCGCTTTTAGTTTGTTTGTTTTTCTCGTTTTCTTTTTTGCGATATTGAATGCTGTTTCTTTAATTATCTTTGTTAAGTATGTTGCCACTTCATTTATATTTGTGGGACTTATATTTTCGCTTAATTTGGCTATCATTTCGTTTTTTATATGATATTGTTTTATTTCAGAGTGCTGCTATCTATTGAGTTTGTGTTGTGTTTAATATATCTTTTCGGCTTGGGTATGGATAATTTAGCTCCGACTATCCGGTGGTCGCTTCCTGTGTTGAAAGAGTTTTGAACTGAGATGTCGGTGACAAACTTCTTGGATGATGATAGGAGATAATCGATTTCGTTTTCAGCCGTCAAGGCTCATCCATGTCGATTTCATTTGCGTTTTCTGAAGAAAGAAGGTGTTCATGGCATAAAGTCTTTTGTTTTCAAGAAAGTTACATAACATATGTCCTCGTGGGTGTCTGTCTCCTAGTCCTTGATTACCAATGTAGTGTTCGTCTTCGGAAAGCTTTTTCCCAACAATAGCGCTGAAATCGCCAATAACCAGGTCCTTATTACATTTGTCTTTGCCTAAGGCTTTTCCGATGTCCTCATATAGAATATCCACTTCTTCGTCTTCGTGAGTTGATGTTGGTGCATATATCTGAATGATTTTGATTCGGTAGTCCTTTGACAACTCCAAGGTTACATATGCTACTCTGTCCGAGATTCCGTTGTAGCTTTGAATGTATTTGATCATTCTTGGGTGTATTGGGAAACCTACTACTCTTTGACTTTCGCTCTCGTGTCTGCAGTAATAAAAGGTTTTTCCCGATTGAAGTGTCAACCGGTTTTCTCCATGTCTTCTGGTTTGACTCAGTCCAATGATGTCCCATTTAATTTTGCAGAGTTCATTTTCTAGATAGAAGAGTTGAGTGTCCGACAGGAGTGATCGACAGTTGTATGTTGCTATTATCAGTTGTTCTTTTTAGAGTGCGAACTTTTTCCTCCCCCAGAATCCATGAGGCTGACCGTCTTTTCCAAGGTGTGGGATTTGAAACTATTGTTTACCCACCTGGGGTACATGTCCGTTCTATTTCAAATTTTCCATGTCTAAGTAAGTCATATCATGTTTACATTACACAAATGTTAAACATGTTTAACATTTGTGCCAAATTAGCGATCTTTTCAATTTAGCAGTGACCACGGCTCCGTCGCTACGTGATTTGTTTCTCACTATGGCAACTTATTCCGACTTATAATGTTTAGTCGCAACAGAGCAGAAAACGTCATCTAGTTGATTTGGTTCAAACCAAACGGTTTAAAAAAGGGTTTTAAAGGAAATTAACTAAAATGATCTCTCAAACTAGGCCAAAAATAGTGGAATCGGTTGCCGGTGGAACGATGCGGTATTACCCAAACTCGTAAATAACCTTTTTAAAGTTGTGTCTGGTCTCCCCATTTTCCAAGATACCAGGACTTTTTTTGGTAGAAGTTACGCCCTGTAGCGCTGGAGCTACGAACTTCAATTCAAATTCCCACAATTTTTTATGGCAACGTTTTTTATAAGGATTTCTTTTCCAAACCGCTAGTCCTTATCGTTGTCGAGATATAGCCGCTCTTTACCCTTATCCGAACACCCTGTATATAAGCAAATGTTCAAAGTTTCTGTAAAGCCTGATAACGTGTTAATTTACAGATGTCTAATGCGCAGATTGTTGAAATGCGGAAAAGTTCTTTGGTTCCGGGTTTGGAGTTGCCTGGAGAACAACAATCAGTGATTCCCATTATACTGCTGTGGCGTGTAGGAAATAGAACTTCTAATAATAATGGTAAATTAATTGTTTCTAATATAATATCTGGGTCTTGCTTGGATCGTAATTAGAATGATGGTGGGTTTATACAGGATAAGGCTTAAGGCATAAGAATAACGCCTAATGGGGTGTTTATATAGCAGAATAAGGAACAAAATGTAAATACGACGTTTGGCGGTCTCGTGGGATATTGGAATATCATTTATCTTACAAACTGCGCATGTCAATTTTTTTTGTCAATTTCCATTTTTGTCAATTTTCGGATACCAGCTTGGAAGAACAGTTTGCGTATTGTACTTTCCTCAGCGTTACAGAATAGACCGACAATAGGCTCTTGTGATTAGCTGTTCCTGTGACGTCAAGTACGCAATAAGAACGGCGGAACTACCATAACCTTACCTCGAATGTTATTTACTTATTTATTTTTGCAATATTGGCAAAGACTAATTACTCTCTGTTATTGGTTTCTTAACCTATTTAAAAAAATACATTATCAATCATATATATACGCTTATTTGGTATTTAGCTGGTTTGATTGTTCTGTCACCAACAAGTTTGTTACCAACAAACTTTTAAAACTAATTCCAACTCCTAATAGTTCGGGTTTTACGTCGGTAAAGTTGATATGTTATAATAGTATATTTAAATGTAGGGTATGGGAGTGGATGGGATGTAATAGTGCCGTCGGTCTGGTCTCAAGCTTTTTTTATGTCTTTTGTAATGTGGGGAGGCCGCGTCGGAGGTCTACGGGAAACTGAGTCGATTGCCTTCGAAAAATCACAATGCGACCTACTTTATCCCGATACAACTGCAGGCGAACAAGAGGAACATGTTCTCACAGACACATATAGAGATACTTTTTTCAGGTGTGTTTCCATATACAAATTTCGTTTTCATGGATATATTACACGTTGATATTTCTTTTAGGTTACCACCAAATAAACGGACAAACTTTAACAAATTTGCTATCGCATCACCGTTCTCATTCAATTGGAAATTACTTATTTCCGACTGGTCTGGACAACATTGCTCGACGTTTTTCGTGCTACGCGATCGATTAGTGCTTAAAGAGATCCAGGTAATATTAAACAAGGCAATCTATCAGGCCAATTTGGTTTTACACTTTTTGATTAGTGGAAAATATTGAGGATGGACCCGCTGAAGTTTTGGGAAAAGGTCACAAAACAGCCAAGAAAACTAAGTCAGAACAACTCTATTCTGGTGAGAAATTTCAAAGTGTTTTTTCAAAGAATCCTCATCCATTTTAAAACACTTCTTTCTTACCTTTTTGGGAGTGAAAACTTCCAACTAATTCTTACCTTTCGAGGGCTAGATTGTGGGTTTCATTTGCATCTGACATGTAATTCATTTTTCTAATTGGTGAATCTTCATTTTTGCTTCATGGGAAGACACACATAGAGTAGAATTAGTAAGGGGTAAGATGCCAGCAATCTTACCACTAGAACACTTTTTTCTCTCAATTTCTACTGTTTGTCCCATAAGAATTTATCTTGGTCTCAACATTGCTGACTCTACTTTAGAAAATTTTAATCTGTATAATGTTTTGCATTTATTTATTTATTTTTGACTGACTTTTCCTAACCGTTGTTTATTTTATTTTGTAATCCTCAAAGAGCAAATTAAATTCTCTATTTCTGGCAATTGCGACAGAAATTTATTCTGAAGACTGCCATTGGCCAATCCCCAATATTTTCGACTTTTTAAAGTTCAGCACATTTTGGACGCGATTACCATTTCAGTTTTATCTTTACAGAAATTCCTTACCGGTGGTGTTGCTGCACCTCTTTTGCCAGATAATTGCCTTATACCCGTAAAATTATTGACTGAGAAAAAAGGTGTCTGCTCGAGGTTTGGCCTAATTTGTACGATTGAAGAAGGAACCAGTAGAGACGAAATTGTCGAACCAATGCACAAAGACCTACTGGCTCAGAAGAGAAAAGCTCTTAGACAAGAGCATAAGTCGTTGTTGCAAAAGCTTCGCAGAAGAAGGAAACGATGCAGGAAATTAAAAAAGGTAAAAAATGCTTACATTGGATTCATATATTCTTACGCACTATTTAACAATATTTCAGCCCTCATCCCCAACCGATATAGATATATTGACAACATACAGGCACAAAATGAGAAGTCTCTGGTTGCCGGAGCCAAAGACTATTAGATATTCTTGTATACGACCAGTAATCGGATTTATTAAGCACGGCGCCTTTTCATTTACATTTGGACAATCAAAAGGGTTGGGATATATTGCTGGCAGTGCATTAACATCTTTGACTGCGAAAAATAAAGTTCTAATCAGAAACCCGAACTCCCAGAAATATAAAGCTGCTGTGTTAGATATTGTTGTTGAATAAAACAGAGATCTAGAAATCAAGAGTGCATTTCGTTTATATATTTTTCTTTCTATCCGAATCTAAAAAAAATACCCTATTGGGACTAACGTAAAAAGTGAGTTAGTTATTAATGACTAACAGAAAAACAGTATTATTTTCCTTCTTACTCGTTTGGAGAAATACCTGCATTTGTACATTTTTTAGCTTAATTACTAGATTTAGATAAGATTTATTAGGCATTATTATCTGTAACTGTTGGTAGTTACAACTCACTTACTGTTGGTATTCAATCCTTTGGGATCAATACATTTACCAAGATGCATAGTTTTTACATATTTAATCCGAAACAAGGCCACGTAATTTAATAAATAATGTACCAGTAAATGTATAGCTTGATCGGCTGGCAATTTAAAGTTTTTGTTTGATTGAAAATTGTCATGGAAAAACAATGTCGAGCTTTTTGTGCTAGAGGTACATTTTAAATAAACAAATGGACACATTTTGGAAGGAAGATAACTAAATACTTCGGTTGTTTATCGGTTTAATTTTTTTTTATGTTGCATAAATGAGATGTCAGTAAAATATTCATAGGGTATTCTTATATTTAAATACTAGTTGATAGGTTATCGATGTGTTTCTTCGATAATATGTACATTTTTTAATCTAATTTCTTATATTTTATATTTCTGTTGAATTAGAATGCGATTTAACCGTGTGCTGCGATCACACTTAGTTAACAGTGACTGCAGCATCTCTAGCGAACTCTATTCTCCGAACTTGTTCTTTTGCCGATTGATTCATTGACTGTTTTCCATAAACTACCTCTGGTTTCTCTCTGACTTTGCAGATCATATTCCACTAGTGGTTGAGTGGGTATCATACTTTCCCTTATTTTTCCATTCTGGGTAATTGCATTGACAACGAGGGCATTGCCCCTGTTAGTAACCAGTAAGTTGTTTACTATTATTGTTAAAATGTATTTTTATATTTTTTATCTCTGAATTTAACTGTTAATATACGTACTGTGCAATATTTATAATCACTACGTCGTCGGCACGAGTTTTAAAAAAACTTTTTTTGCATATTCAAAGTACTTCACACATATCACACCAAAATGCAGCGTCAGGTTTCTTAAGCCGAAATACCAGAAAAGTTAAATAGAAAAAAATTACAGTGTAAACAGAAATAAATTTACATTAGTACTTTAGAAGTGTTCTAATTAATTTTAATTACAATCTGACATACATGTTTCATATGATGTATTTTTAAAGTTATTCATGTGTATCAGACTCATAATGTGTCTATTAGAGGTGTGATGAACGGTTATTTTTTGTAACGGGTTACAACGTTTTTTTTGCAAACTATTAATACAAATTGTTAAAAAAATAAATTTCAAAATACAGTTGGAACAACCGCTCAAAATTATTTTTTTCAGATGAAAACCCCCATTTTTGATAATTTTTTCTTATTTCGTATTGGAAATAAGTTTGTGTACGGTGGTCTATTCCAAAAGTGTGTAGTTTTCGAATTCGCCAATTTAATGTTTTTATGTGGCTATTTTGCCGTATCTTATCTTAAATCCTGTCACTCTTAGTTGCCATGACGCAAGTGGCCATTTTCTAATACAACCAAATGCTAAAGAAATGCTGACAGCTGTCAGTTACCTTTTGAAAATAATTCATGATCATGCGCAGACGCTTAAATTATACCAACGAGGATTATTTAAACTTATGTATTATTTATGGAGAATGAAATATTCAAGAACATGGGCAATGTTCTTTCATAAAAATGGTTAAATTCAATGTTTAATAAATAAATAAATTTATAATTATTCAATCTGTTGAATTCAGGTCGTAGAGCTAAGCGAGGACAAAGTTTTGATTTTTTTGTAGGAAACTGTGCTCTTTTGTTCAGAGCGCTTGGTTTTTTAGTGTCTCTATTCAGGTCTCATTAGCATTCAATAATGTAGGTATTGAATCACATTATAGAGTAAGCCCAAAAACCAATTCCACTTGGTGGGCATATTTAAACTTAAAACAATTCACAAAATAATTTTCTATGATATGTGACTTAAAATTCACCGTTCCATATTATAACACATATATCACTTGTGCAGCAACACTTGGCTGAGTCCTTATTGACATATAGGTGCTCTACGACAGCTTTAAACAATTCCGAATATATTTTTATTATATTTCAACATTTAGATCAAATATGGTCCTACCTGGCTGTATTGGTAGTTCTTATCAATAACGGAATGTTTCATTATATTATCATATTGATTGTATTTTATTGACCCTCAAGACAGAAGATGATACAGAGTATTTGAGTAATCTGCGGTATTAGCAGAAAGTTAGTATTTATGTTGACACTTAATTGTTTTTTATTACAGGAGTGTAGCAATTAAAATGGGTAGCAAAGCCATCGACATTTACTACTATTCACCTAGTCCACCCTCAAGGGCTGTGCTTATGTTAATGAAGGCTCTCGGTTTAGAGCACAACATTAAAATAACTAACGTTGTCATTGGTGAATCTAAGAAGCCAGAATTCATAAAGGTAGCATTGATGAATTATTTCAAATTTGCATTATACAACTTATCTAATATACCGAATACAGATGAATCCTCTGCATACGATTCCACTGATTACCGACAACGACTGGCACTTATATGACAGGTACTTACTACATAAGCACATGAGTATGACCATTGCAGTGCACAAATGCATGGAAAGCATCAGTTAATGGCCGTACTTATAGACGACTCTCAACTGATACTGAACATTCAAGTGACTATCACTCAAAAGTGACTCAAGTCGTTCTTCGATAATTGTCTCTCAAGTGCCACTTGGCAGTTGGACTATAAATACGGCCATAAGTCATACACAATCTTTGGCACTCGTGTATATTTTTTACCACTTGTCCTGCAATTTCTGATATTTGTGAAGAATTGTCTTGTCTATTACTTATCATTTTTTGTTTTGAATTTATTTATTTTTAAGCCGTACTTTTCGTTAATAACAGACAGTCTGCTCATCATTTCTGGTATGGTTTTTTTTCTTTATTTCAAATTATATTCAATTGATACATACACATGTACAAAGAATCCAAAATAAATTGGCGTTAAAAAATAAATTGACAAAGGACACATTATACTAAAAGGTACTGTTGTTATATATTTAAATAATCTTTAATAGTATAAGGCTCTAACTCAATTAACATCTGTTTTAATTTATTCTTAAACAATTTTTAAAATTCTTACTTTTTTAGTGCTGTTTTCTACTTTATTAAAGATTTTTATTCCCATATAGTAAGGACTTTTTTCAGACAGTGTTAGTCTGTGTGTTGGATAGAAAATGTTCCCGGTGCGGGTGCTATGATCTAAGTTAACGCATCTATCGTGTAAATATATACTCCAAACACATAATATTGCCTCAAGAATATACAGACCATACACGGTTAAAATACCCTTTGATTTAAAACCCCCTTGACAAGACTGCAAAGGGGACATTCCGTGGATAGTCCTTAGTATACGTTTCTGCACTGTAAATATATTTCGAGTCCCCGAGCTACTCGCCCAAAAAATTATTCCATGTCTAAGTGTTCCTTCAAAGTTCGCAAAGTGCAGGACCTTGCAGGCAGTTTCATTGAGGTATCTTGAAACATTTCGGATACTAAAACAAATTTTATTTAGTTTTTTACTAAGGTAATCAATAGAGGGCGGAAAATATGCAAAGTGCATATCTATGCATTTTTTGCATATTTTATACAATTTCATGAAAAATTGCATATATCTAAAAAATCTGTATATTTGTGCATGTTTGAAGATTTTTCTTTTCATCTTAATGAAATATTATCGAAATT